CGCTCAGACGGCCCCCTGTTCTATGCCCAGGCCCTCATCAAGGCAGGCTGCGAGGAAACCATCGAGGCCACCGTGCGCAAACGGAGACTGTGTTTCGCGGGCTTCGTATTGCGCATGGAGGACAGCCGCCTCCCCAAGCGCATGCTGTTAGGAGCGATGGCGGGGGGCGTGGGATACCGGGGCGGGCAGGAGAGCGACTGGGTGTCTCGTCTAGGAGAGGACCTCGTGGCCTTCAACATGGGAGACGAAAAGGAAGGGGGTAAATGGAAAGAGAGCGCCAAGAACTCGGAGGTGTGGTACAACAAGGTCGAGGACGGGGCGGCATGGTTCATGAGGAAATGGCACAGGCAGGAGGCGGAAGCGTCCGCGAAGCGCCAGCGCGCGAGGGAAGCAGAAGTAGAGAGTACGGCCATCTCAGGACCGAAGAGAAAGAGAGCCGGGGAAGCGGCGGTGGGGGGGAAGAAACGGCGACCGGGCACTGCTGAAGAAGCGAGTAGGGCGGCCGAGGCAGCACTTGTGGCGAACTATGTACCCGGCTGATGTTGTTGCGCCCTGTTTCCCTCCCTGCTGTATGCTATGCTATACTCCTTTATGTATGTCCTTTGTATTGCCTTCGGCCTCTGTGCTGTGTTTCTTTTTTTCATGACCTCCCTGCCTACTCTGCTGTGTTGGCTACCTTGATCTGGTTTTGCTGTTGCCTTTGTTGTTGCACGTCTGGCTGTCTGCCCATCTGCCGCCTCTTTGTCCTGTTTGCTCCGTCACTCCCATGCCTTGGTGCGTAGTGCCTGGTGCTGGTACGTTACCCTTTGATGTTTACTTTGGGCGGGTGTGGGAAGCGTTCTCCTTCATTTTTGTTTTTGTTTTACTTTGATGGGTCTCCGAGGGCTCTTTTCTCGAACGGTCGGTGCGATACCTGTTCTTTTCTTTCTATCATTTTGTTTCCTTTTTCCGAGTGGTTTGTACCCTATTTTTGTTTTTTTTTGTTTTCTCGCGGCGTCGTATGTGCCGGGTTTTGAGACCACGGGNTGGGTCTCCGAGGGCTCTTTTCTCGAACGGTCGGTGCGATACCTGTTCTTTTCTTTCTATCATTTTGTTTCCTTTTTCCGAGTGGTTTGTACCCTATTTTTGTTTCTTTTCCCCGCGGCGTCTTATGTGCCGGGTTTTGAGACCACGGGCTCCCCATTTTTTGTGGACTATAGAGCTAATGTGAGAAACAACAACTGAGGTACATGGTAACATCCAACTGGACGAGCAAGAGTTTCGAGTTTCAACTTTCTTGAATGTACATCTACGTATATGTACGCATACAATGAATTTCCCACCTCTAGTCTATTCGTTACGATGTTTTTTTTTAGGCTATCTTTTTTTCAAAAATTGACAACTGGCCAAATAGCCCCGTGTTACAGCGTCTTTTTGTGCTAAAATATGACAACGAAAAAATGACGAACCTTTTTTGACAGCCTAGAACACGGGGCTGGTTGGCCAGTTGGCATCTTTTGAAAAAAAGACAGCCTAAAAAAAGACATCGTAACAAATGGCTTATAAGCATGAATCTTCTTCCGCCTTGAAATACCTCCCTTCATGGCACGCCCGCCGTCGGAAATTCCACTCCCAATGAACAGTTCGATTCATTTGCCAAACTCTTTTGCCAAACTCTTGGAACCTCTTCGCATACAAATGGTAAACACGATTCTACTTGGAAAAATACAACCAGGCGCCGAGTCACCGAAAACGATTACGGGTGACACGAACCACCCCCACATGTGAACACCCCAACCAGTATCGACAATTAGGAGAAGAGCGTGCTGGTAAAACTATGGTAAAACTCAAGGGCGAACGCAACCAACCGCACCAATACATCAAGAAACCATCATCCACACGCCCGGTGAAGACAACATGTACAGCAAGCCCGAACAGCGGAGTATCGAACTTCTTCGAGTGTGCTACGCCAAACAAACCGCGTGGGTATAACTACCCGTGGGGTCCACTGTTGTTTTACCTTCTTCACGAACCTATGGTGCCCTAGGTCTATCTGAGAATATACCTGTACGAGGAAACAACGAAAGCATGGCCTTCTACACCGTCGCCATTCGGGTTCACGGTAAACATTCTAAGTTCTTCCACAATAGCACCTACGGATTACCAAAGGGACTACCACAAAACTTCGTCCGAGTTTCGCCTCGAAGCTATCACTACGCAAGCCCGGAAAAGGGGTATGTGTTTTCCTTGTACCTCTCTCTGTAGCTCAACAATAAAGACCCTTTCCTCGACGTACACGACAACATTCTATCCAAATCGAGTCATCCACGCAAAACAATCGTCATGTATCACCAGCCGTCTATCTTCCGCCTTGTTGTACAAGATAACATATTAGACCTTACGTAATGGCAATCAATTGCGAGCGGGTGACAGCGTCATCTCTATTTCGCGGGCGCCGCGTCAGCGGCGGCATCGGCTGGGGCAGGGTCGTCCTTGAGAGAGGGCTTGATGTCCGCCTGGATCTCGTCCCTGACGGCGCCCATCGCTCCCTTGACGCCATCCGTCACGGTGTGCGTCACGTTGGCGAGGAAGCCGCCGATCCCACCTCCTGTACCGCAGGTGCGGGCACGAAGGATAACGCAACAGTCGAGGGAGGGTGAGTCTCATCTATCAATCTGCGCCCGTTCTCTGCTCATAGTTTCGACGTTTCGACATGCAGCAGTAGATATGCTCCCTTTCCCCACAAAGCAGTCATGATGACTTGTCGACTTGGGAGTGCGGTGTGCGGCCCCGCAAGTCGTCGTGATCGGGAACGCAACCCCAGGAAATCGAGAGAGCGTGGGAGAGGTCGGCAACACGGAAGGCGGGTTTGTTCCACGTTTTTCTGCTGTCGTGACGTCATCGGGTATGAAGGAAGTCCGATGAGGCCATCACTGCACCCCCAGGGGGGATCCAATCCTTTATCTGAACGCAAGCAACGTCCATAGCAACGCGTGTTGGGGGAAAACCTTATCCCCCAAATCGTGACAGGTCCCGTCGGTGGTGAGGAAACACTCGAGAGAGGTCGACGCCTCATTTCTGCAGCTTTACCTTCCTTCCCCTCCTCTGGTGTCTCTACCGCCGGCACCGCCGGCACCGACGTCACTTCGACCGCCGCAGCATCCGCGCCGTCCTTCTTGCCACCGCCAATGATTCCAGCGGCCGTGTCAGTCACGCTGTGTGCGGCGTTGGTGATCGTCGAAGTCAGGTTGCCGATTATTCCAGGAGTTTCAGCCTCCGCCGCCGCCGGCGGCGCCTCCCCCCCCGCGGCGGTGCCGCTGGACGAAGAGCTGCTGCCCCCGCCCACAACGCTCTGGATGGCGCCGGCGAGCATGCCGATGCCGGCAGCGGGGGGAGGTGTTTTTTCGGGTGTGTCGGCGGGGGCCGGGGAGGGGGTGGGGGCGTCGGTTGGGGCTGGGGCGGGGGTGGGGGCGGCTTCTGCGTCGCCCCCGACTCCGGTAACCTGTGAGTTGTCGAGACAACAGCATGGCATAGAAGAAGTGCATTGGAAAACTCCAGACGGAACGTTGCGGAGTATAATAATAAATGACGGAACTGCACCGTCCGTGCTGGTAGCTCTGTGGTGTGACCTCGGGTTGCTCCTCAGTTTCTCAGGCAAAGGACAATGCGCAAGGGAAGAGTCTGTTCGAGCAACGATGGTGATGTGTTTTACACGGGTACGATGTTGAACTTAATACACAAGGGGCAAACGTCTATGTGATCCACTTCGACATGATGGGGGGACGTATGTGGCTTCAGTCCCTCTTGCCGTAATCAAAACGTTGCAAAGAGAATCGCATATGCACACGATACGAATGTCCACAGAGAAGCCGCCACGTGGCCATAAAACGCATGACATCATAACACCAGCAGTGAAGGACCACCTATTCAGATTCACAGGTGGAGGTCGACCCCTCTTCCCCAAATGCCGTGTACCCTCGCCCTCTTGTGGAGACCTTGACAAGGTCGAACACCTTGGAGAAGACAACCAAGGCCTCAAAAATACCTCGATTTCTCCCCTTTCGAGGCCTCCACGAGGGGGCGAGGGCATCCGACATTTGGGGAAGGGGGGTGGACGTTCACCTGTGTTGTTCTACAGAGGGAATGTGATGTACAGACACACAACGGGGCTACAGCCGTAAGTACTGGAGAGATATGTGCCCATGTATACTTGCACCATGCCTACAAAAACGTATACAATGACGAGTTTAAACTTGTACATGGAAACAACCAATCGCGCATTTTTATATCGTTGTGAGTTTAACAAAATCGTGGTCGTTCTGCGTTTTTGATCGAAAAGAATAAATTTACAGAAGGCTAGACTATGTACAGCAGTACATAATTCCATCCGAGAGCAAAGGGGAGCAAGAAATGACGAGACCAACAGCATGTGACGACAACAAAACATGCAACCACGAGAAGAGTGAAGATTGATGCGGAGCCGCCAACAACCACATGTGGACTAGTCTACTGAGTGTAATCTTCTGACGCGACGAAACCCACCCTTGCATAGTCTATGTGAGGAGAGAACGAAACGATCTTCAAACTCTCATCGTGTGTGCAGACGGGTTTTTACTGCTCTGCTCTGCGCCCACTTGGAAATGAAACCCTCAATGCTGATATGGCACAGCTACCGGCAGAAAACGCGGAGGAGCGAACCTCAGCGTGCGGGAGTTGGATTCCGACTCGCAGGCCACTTTGTACTAGGCGTGCTGCTTTGATCTCCACAACGAACTTGAAATTGGAAATGAGCTACGAAGGATATATCTGGACTCCGATCGCCAACTTCAACTCGCGAACGAAAACAACAACAGCAGGCACGGGGGAGCATTTTGATCTGAGAACATGAGCGACTCTACTTGTAGCAAAAAAACGAAGCCCCCATGGCAAGGACGATGACGCCCAGAACTTGCACGAAAGCGAAGAGTCCTTGGGAGCGAGGGCAATTGAGAACGTCGGGGGACTGCGCCACAAGGTTTCATGGGTACGTAGTCTGTTCGCCACTTTGACCATTGCGATCGTCAACCGCTACTGCTTGCTTGCAGTCCACCTCGTCCCGATCCATCATCGCACACACCTTTTTGATGAAGTTCATGTTTGTCTTGTTTGCTTTCTCTTTCCGATGCTTAACCCAGTCTGCTCGTTGTGCTGAGAGTTTGTGAGAGCCGTGGGGAGGGTCAGTGAAGAGGGGAAAGAGTTTTCTCAAATGGGCAAGAATTGGACGTCACCAATGCAAAAAAAAAAAAATGAGAATGTGCTGGCTGCAAAAAGAATCTGTCGTGGACTCTTTTCTTATTATTATAGATAGAAGGGATGGATTCGTTGTGTCATGAACAAAAAATTTAGGGTAAGTTAGCCTGCGACCACGGGAATCGACCGCGTCGAGTGTTGGATCAGTACAGACATACGAAGGTACTGGGTAGAGAGAGATCGGAACGGTTTTTAATGTGAAGACAACAACAGAACAACAACAACAGCAACAACAACAACAACATTAAGAAATTAAAAAAAAAGATATTCCGATCTCTTCGTTCGGTCTTGTTTCGTTCGACATCTCGGACCCATGTGCATAGCTGTGGCCCGTAGTTGACCCCGGAAACCTGGTGTAATGGAGGGACCAGGGGACAAGCCGACATCCACGAGTGCCGAAGAGACTGTACAGCAGTACGTCCTCTAGACGATGAAGAGGAGGGAAATATTGTGCACAGACAACCAGATCCTACTTGCTGTAGAGGTTACTTTGATGCACGGAATATGACAGAGAACGAAGAGACAGCAACACACGATTTCTTCACAATCTGGAAACACTGGAATCCACGACAGCCACTGCTGTCAACAACGGCGACAAACTAGCACCATATGACAAACAGAGAAATGCAACTTTCGTGTTACCAAACAGCTTTGACAGATGGTATCATCGTCTGTCCTGATGTTGGGCTCTCTGTACGGACGTTTGTTTTGTGGACACCCACATCATCATTACTACTCTGTACGTCCACCGGCGAAGGCTGTCCGAGTTGATGCTTCCTTTCGCCGGTATCTGACCCCGCGAATTCGCCGAAAACTTACTTGCGGCAGCAGTCAAGTAGTTACGATGAGAAGCGTGGATAGCGAGACCCTCTGTGGCTTTGCACGTCACCGTTGTAGTAACCGTAAAAAAACGCCGCTTCGAGCACTTGGAAATCTCTCCGCCGTCGAAAACGCCTACTGATGTAGCTCCATGCCTGGTCTCCTTACATTATACTTCAAAGTACATGTCTATCTTTCGAAGAAATAGACCTCACGTCCGGGTCAAAACGGTTGAAGACCGGAAGGGGTACAGTCCTTTGCCCTATAACCCCGGCACAGCCCAAGCGCTTGCGAAGCCCGGAAATCAAATGAGCGGACGTCTGCTATCCGGCAAAAAAGAACGCATGCGTCCCCCGAAACATCCTGCTCTCCACCGTCCATAACGACAAACGACAAGAATTACAGACAACGAAGGTCTTCTTGTTTCGGGTCCTTTGTCTTTTATCTTCCCTGTACAATCCCCTCCCCCTGCCTACGCATGTCGCAATTAAGTAAAGTACAAATAAAGGCCAGCCCCTGTTGTGTGTGCCACACGGTCCTCGAGAACGGACAAGGACAGAGGATAAACCTACTACCCCCCCAACACTGATTCCCGGCATCCATGCATGCACGCAGCCGTAGCGGGCACAGCATCGACGGGGGCGAGGCAGGTCTTCCGGCCTGCCCAGAAATAAGGTCAGGGTTCGTTCGTTCGTTCGTTTGTTCAAGAGTAGCTGAAGACGCTTCGATTTTGCGGGGCCTCCGGATTGGCCAGTGCGTGGGAGATCACCTTGGCCTCGCTGGTGAAAGCCGTCTTCACGTTCTTCTTTTGGACACGTTTGTCCTGAATTGGCAGAGGCGCAAGGAGGGAGGGTGGGGGGTTGAGAGCTTGGCAGGTTGGGGAAGGATGTTCGTCGAACAGATTGCAAAATGCTGGGGTGTTGCTGACGATCAGCAAGCCTCACCTACAAGGCTTTTGCTAATCATTGATTTGTTGCTGCTGCTGCTGCTGGTGTTGCTGCTGGTGTTGCCGTGGAAAAAATCTGCGATATTCCTCGACATGTACACATGGTTTTCCTTTGATGTTCCGGTAAAATCAATGGGAGCGCTCTCATACAACCTTGCGTCAACACCAACAAAGGTATCGCAACACGGCATGCCTGCAAACCACAAAAGTACTTTACCGACTCGGGACAAGCTGGACCCTTGTGTGAGTACGGCCCTGGTACAAAGGCGTTAGAACGGGAGGAGGGTTGTCCTTTCCGCTGTTGACCCGATCAGTACTCACCCTCTTGTCCTGCTTGATCTGTGCTTTTCTTCGCCTCTTCTCCTCCGCTGTTTCCTCGGTATCTCGCTTCTCTCCCTTGTTCTTACCCGGGATCAACGACACCATGCCCCTGAAACGGCGGTGCCGGTGGCAGGGTGCGGGGACAAGGGGGACCGGCGCGAAAAGCAGCATCAGCGTCGTCAGAACAGGGTCATACAGAGCCGGAAGCTTGATCAAATGATTTCTTGTGGGTCCATGTTCGTTAAGACCCGGGACACACAACAGCCGCAAAACCACATACACACAACAGCCGCAAAACCACATACACACAACAGCCGCAAAACCACGTACATACAGTTGCCGCGCTGAGACTGACGCCTTTTCATTCGTCAGCCGACTAGCGCGGTCGACGCCAACAACACAAAAAAAGAAACACATTCAGAACACACACACATTCAGAACACGTCCTTTGGCTCACGTGTCGTTGTACGTCCTCTCCGGGAGCACGCCCAGAGGAAGGCCCGTCTTTGCCGACAGCGCAACCTGCTGCACTGTGGACGCGTCTCCGCCCCCGACCCCCTCCGCAACGGGGGACCGCCGGGCGCGGCCAGGCTTCGCTTTGCGGCCGGTCCCGAGCACCGACGGGTGGTTGTCGAGGTTTGAATACGTGCTCACGATCGTCTCGCAGTCCCACTGTTCGGCCTATTTCCGAGTCCGCGTGGCCCCGCGAGTTTTTAGGGAAGGCCCGAGGCGTTTGTTCCATTGTCAGCAAGCGGCAAGAGAGGACGCCAACAGCCGGGGGGGGGAAGGGAGGGCTTTGAGATGACGGGCGTGGAGGTTTTGTACAACTGCAATCTTGTGGTAAATTGGAGCCGAAGAACTCGAACTACTCAGAATGTTGACCCTTCGAACAAGTACTGTACCAGCGTATTTTGGGCAGCAGTCGGAACAGGACGCAGAGGCCCCAACAGCGGCCTTCTTGAGTCCGTGTACGACCAGATCCCTGTGCTCTTTGTGGTCGATTGTTAGCTCAGTTATCCACTCCAGTAGGTAACGCTGGCGGCGTACCACAAGGCTGCGGGTGTGGCCGCGCTTCTCTCTCTGTCTGCGGGTGCTCAAGCGTACCACTGGGCCGAAAGGGGCCCTCGGGGTAGCGACAGGTAGCTCGCGGAAGGATGGTTACGTACGTACGCGAGAGGGCTAGAAGATGAAAGAAAGGAGTAGTAGTGATACTGTAGTTGCGCTGGTAAGCCGAAGAGTTGCAGCAAAAATACATGATATGGCACAAAGATGAGATTCGCCGACATTGAAGCGCTCGATTCGGTATGGCAGCAGCGTGCGGTCGAAAAACCGAGTCGTACTACAACACGAAGGGTTAACCCTCCTAATACTGGAAGCAATGGGGACACTTTAAGGACACAGCACTCACGTGCCTGTTAACAGCACCGTGGTCGTCACTATGCCGCTGCGTGAAACGTGCGTGGGAAACCTTGGTCAAGCATGCTTGTGGGAGGTGGTACACTGCATGATATACTGCTGTGTGATGCCTGTGCGCCTACCCTGGGCCTCTGACTCGCTGCAAAATCTACCAAGCCGCGAGTGCCCTTGTTGGTGAAACTGTACATAGACTAATAATGGAAATAGTTGCTGACTTGGCTTCAGTATAGAAAGTGTCCCCAGTACATTTGGGTACTCTTTCCATACTGAGGCCAAGTCAGCGTTCGGCCCTCGGGACTGTACAGTTTCTCCCAATGAGCGCACGCAATTTTTCTGGACCCATAACCTGCAGCTAACTTGGCTGCATAGGAGGATGAACAACCCCACCAGGTGCTCGTTCATCACCGCACTATCCTACCGGCAGATGTGATGCGCACATGGGATGCGCAGCATAGGGTGCAACTTTCACCACTCACACGAGCTACCTTCCCATTTCGACAACAATACATTCCACCAATGCATGAGTAGAAACACACACCGGTTTTTCCCGCAGGTATTCGTTATGATGCTCCATGTCATGAAGCTCGTCATCCTCCTCCTCCTCGTCGTCCTCCGGCGCTGGTACTGGCACACCCCCTAACCCTCTCAGCTTCCCCAAGCGGGGGCCCGACGTCCCCGTCGTCGTAGCTGCCTCTGCGCTCAGTCCGACTCCACCCGGCCCCGCGCCGCCGGCCGCTGCAGCACCTGCTCCCGCCTTACCCGCGTCGCCGACGCTGCCGCCGCCGCCGCCAGCGGGGGGGGCGGCGGCGGGATTAGCGGCGGCGGAGCCTTCGATGGCGAGGGTGGCCGCCGCGATGGAGCGCTGGTCTGGCGGCAGCCGCTGGACCCCATCCGTCCAGCGAGCGTCCTCGTTGGCGGCGAGGAAGTCGTCCATGCACGTGTTCGCGTAGTCGTGCTGCTCCAGATCCCTGTCGTAGTCAGCGGTGATGGTGTTGGTGGTTGTAGTGGCGTGTTCAACGTTTATGGGGGTAACCGACAGCAACAGGTGGCAATCGTGGGGGTCAAGTAGGGAAAGGATTAAAATAGGCGTGAATGGATACGACGGCGGGGTCTCCTGGGAGCAGTACCGGAGACAAGTGACAGCAAAGCACGTCGGTGAAGATGCGGACTGGGAAAGAACGGAACAGACCAATTTCAGAAAAAAAAAAAAAGGTCAACCTGCGCGAGGGGAAAACACAACACCCAACGCACTACTTGCTGCTGCTCTTGGGTCAAAAAGCACCGACCGAAAAAGTTAACCGGGGCCCTCGACCCAAAGCACAACCAAGGCAAAACAACTCAAGGTCGCCCACTAGATTGTGGAGAGACCGTTGGCCATCATAGTCGTGTGCGCCTTGTCATTTTCACCCGCTCCCCACGGTCCACTCACCAGCGTCCCTGTACTCGGTCGTCGTCCTCCTCGAGCTCGCCCCATTCGTCACTGTCGTACGCTGCCAACGTCTTTCGTATATTTTTTTGTTTTTATTCATTTTTTCCGATTGTTGTGTCGTAAAGACAAAGAAAAAAAAAAAAGCCGGCGGGAGAGGGAGAGAGAGAAGTCGGAGAGAGAGAGAGAAAAATACGATTGTAGCGAGAAAGAGAGAGGGGGAGAGAAAGAATCAGAAAAAAAAAAAACGAAAGCGCGAACACGTATTGAGTGCACAATATATGCTAGAGCGGACACATTGTGGACGTTTATAAACACAGAGAAGGCAGAGGAGAAATAAAAAAAAGAACTTTAGGACGGGTCGTCGATGGATCCTGACGGCTCGTTCGTGAAGATGTGTATCAAAACAGGTATTTCAGCCGCTTGGTCCTCTTGAAGGAAAGTTTCAACCGGACACACGGCCGTGGGGAGGACAGAGAATGGGATCAGGGGTACATGCGTGCAGGGTAAGCTCAGGGCCACAAGCACAACCACGCAACCAGCCGGTGTGTCATGTATGTGCGACAAACAAAACCGTTCTCGCTCGACAAGTAGTCTGTATTTCGCCGCTTTCCAGGCAATCAGGCGTCCGAGTGGTTCGGAAGAGCTTCCGTCCCCCATGGCGCCCCTTTGCGTGCATTTCTTGCTAGCGTCACACATAGGTGAGGTACAGAAAGCACCATCATCATCATCACGCAACCAAAATTTCGAAGCCGGCATTAGACTAAGTCAGCTTCGACTTCGGCTTGTATAAAAGTCAGTCGCGGGTTCGAGAGCCGGGCTAGACGCCTTGAAGTGGTTTTTTTCCGGAGACCCTGGGTACTCTCAGCCGGAGCATGGGTGACGGAAGGACTCGTGGACCCTGGAACATTCTGCAGGATGTGGATGGCGAGGACACGCAGACAACAATCGGCCGGCCCAGTGCTCAACAAACACCAATGCATAAATATGACGGCTCCAACGCCAGAACGTAACGACCTGAAAAATATGACAAGAGTTCCCAGGGCCTGCATGAGAGCGGCGCACTCACCGCCTCGAACTGAGAATCGAGCACAGCCCGGTCCTCCTCCGTCCCCTCCCCGGGGACGCCTCCCCCCGCCGCCGCCGCCGCCCCGCTGATGTCCAGCCCTTCCAGCAGCGCGTCGTCTATCTCCCCGCTGTCGTCTGACCCGCCACCACCATCCAGCGTAGCAGCGTCGTCCTCTGAGTCGTCGCTCTCTAAGTCCGAGTCTCGCCGCAATCGCACCAGGCCCTTGGTCTGGAGGTCGTCGTCCATGGTCCGCGGCCTCACGCCGGTCTCCTTCGCGCTGGCCTCCATCAACCGGGCCACGTGAGCGTCGAAGTCGAAGCCCTCATCCTGCATATTTGGGCCAAGAAAGAAGGAAGAGTGATTCGTGTCGACACTACAATCAATGCGCGTGAGTGATTGGTGTGAGCTTGAGAGCTTTTCGCTCGGAGGGCGTGCGAACGGGATGGCATGGGATCGGGGCAGCAGATACTAGCCAGGCCGAAGCTTTCAGACGGGTGATGGGGGTGGCTATCCCTTGATAGAACTAGGGCACAGATTGGGTAGAACCATGTATTTCTCTGGGTCGTCGACGTCCCAACATCGTGTCATAGCGTTCAGCAATCGCAGTCATTTACTACCCGCACCAGTAGCTCGTCTGGGGACGAAGCTACGCCGAACGATTGCACCACATCCTCAGCCTCTACACCATGCCTCTCGATCGACACCCAGACTGTGTTAGGATCGCCAACCATCACCCCCGCCTGCCCGACCAAATTTTCGTCCGTCTCGGACACACTCCTCTGCCACTGCCGCCGAAGAGCTACCTCTCTTGTTACGCCCCTCCCCAACTGGACGGATGAAATCGTCACCCCACCCACCCATCCATCCCGTCTGCTAAAAATACCAAAGTCCAGGGCGGTGTAACGGGGTGCTACAGCAGCAGCCGTAGTGGTGCACGCTAAGCACTGACTTGGACTGATTGATGATCGTGCTTAATGGGCTGCTGCTGTAGATTGGACTGGACTGTGTTTCTCACTTCTCCTGCACCGGCCGCCTGCACAACGAAGTCGTCGTCGAGCATGTTGCTCTCGTCATCCCAGTCGTCCTCGCCAACGTCAGCCAGCCCCGCCGCCAAAGCTCTCCTCATGTCGCCGTCCATCACCTCTTTCAGTAGTAGTAGTAGCAGTAGCAGCAGCAGAAGCAGCAGCGAAAAGAACGAATAAGAGCAGGAGCACCATTCACACAAGAAAACAGAGAGGAGGAGGGGCGCAAGGAACGTGAGAGATGTGTGGAGGGAGGAAAAGACATCCGGACACAGAGGTAGAACACGGAGAGGGAGAGGTAGAGAGAGGGAGACAGTGGAAGTAAGAGAGCGTGAAGGAGGGAGCTGAGACGAGCAAGGACACATCGCACAAACGTCGAGGGGAAAGCTACGGCGTCAACATATACGTGATTCAACAAAAGCAAAAGGAATGGATTCAATAGCTAGAACAGACGGCTGGATGTCGCGGACAACATTGGAGAGAGAGATCAAACGAGGCAGGCCAAAAAAAAAAAAGCAGACTCACTTTCGCTAATTGTGACGGCCTCGAGCTGCCGGTCCAGCGTCTCCCCGGATGGCAACGCCTCTTCCGGGATGCTGGCTTTCACTCCCCCCCCCCTGGCGCCCTGGCTGTTGCCTTCTGCAAAGTGCTGTACCTTTCCGCTCTTCGAGACGAACGTGCCTCCGCCTGTGTTGTTGGAAGCGACACCGAACGGTGTAGCGCACGGTTTAAACGTGGCAACGGGGTCAGCATCATCACTGAATAGAGGGGGGTCGGATCGAGCTGATTTTGGTTTTTGGCGCAAGTTTCTCTGCTTAACCCTGTACAAGAATGAGAGGGTTTGAAGAAGCTGATCCACAAACGCGAGGGCAGTGGCGAAGGAGGGAAGAGCGTGAGGGTTGGTGCGAACGTGCGTTCCGTATTTGTTGTCGGACGAGTTTTGGACAGAGTGGGCTCAGAAGTCGTAAGTGGAAACTCGGGGAACAAGGCCAAGCGGGAAAGGAGGATGGGCGACTGCCGATAGAACATGGATGACAAAGCATCAATCACATTTCTAGCACATCCCGATCGACGATTCCGTTTGTAGGTTGAGTGGACACAGACTACAAGATAGAAGGGCGAACCACAGGATGACACGTGCTTGTTTGTATGCATACTTCCAGTCGTTAGTGAGCAAATACGTCGAAACGGGACCATAATTGAGACAGCAAAACATCGCACCATACACCACCAGACTGAATACGCGTATGAAACGCGACATACGGACTTCGTTCGCTTCGCTCGATCCATCGGTCGTTTGCTTGAGGCGTCCTCTCAAAAAGCACAACAAATACAGCAGAACGGATCTCTCACCCATGGACTTGAGGTGCCGGTCGTAGTCGTACCCATCGTTCGGGAGGCCGAGGGCGTTGATGTGATCACGCTCCGTCCCTGTCACGCCATCCTTGCCCTTCCCCTTACCAGCTGCTTTCCTTTCCTCCTGCGGCCGGCTATCTCTCGATGGCTGGACGGGATTCGCGTGCAGCATCAGCATCAGCAGCAGCAGCAGAAGTCGTGACCGCCGCAGACAGCGCGCGCGGGGACGCAGGGGGCGAGGACAAGGGAGTTTTTTTTTTAAGGTGGCAGGAAGAGGGGCAAAGCAGTTCCCCTGCCTAGATCACTGTGTGAGGAGCGACACAGCCGCACTGCTAGGGGTTTTCACGTTGACCGGAATGTGATGACGCGATGTTCTTGGCACTCCTCTATGCAGTCAGTGAGGCAAGGATCTCTGTCCCGGTGGTGAGAACAATGTCAGCCAGATCTGGTCTAGATATTACGGCTGCACGCTTTCACGTGGTCGATCGTCGCCGACACGAGCAAAAGTCGACTCTGCTGCTGAGCAACCGCGAACGCGCCGATTTCCACTCCTGGAGGCAAAAGCAGCGTGGCTCACCGCCGACGGGATGAGGACGAACTCTGAAGCCTCCTCCTCGCCCTCGTTAGCCTTGTCCTGCTGGGACCGGTGTACCACGTGAAAGGTCGTCGACTCCTTCTTGTCGATGAATTTCTTCTTGCGGCCCTGTGTCGGCCAGAGAGACCGTCACATTGCAATAGAAAACACAGGGGTAGTCGGATGAGAGAGGGGGGGGTGGATGGGGGCAGACGTGACAGGCAGCTACAGGCGGTAAGGGCATACATGAGCAAGAGCAAGCCGTGTTTCTTGCTGCCGTTCTTGTTGTGGGTATGCTGTACCCACTGCTTTGATACGAAACTGTCCGCACCAACAAATCCAAACCCAGCATGGCAGGGCTTAGGCGACGCAGCGGGTTGAGATAAGGGTGTGTACTATTCAGTCTGCTGTTGTCTGTGCTTCATCGTCCCCTGCCCTAACCTGCCCTGCCTGCCACCACATTTTGAATGGAGAGAGCTAAAGGTTGGGCACGTATCCACGATTTCCTGCTGCTCTACGTCGCCAACAACAAGATAAATTATTCGATCAGCTGCGCCATCCAATTCCAAGGTAACTGACACCCACCATAGTTCCTTATCGGTGGCGAGGTCGTGCGCTCTAGACACGAGAGCCAAGCAAGGTTTTGAGAGCAGCAGCCCGTGCACCGACGCACCAGCAGATGCGGCGAAATTAGCCGGGGGGGTTCTCGATTTCTGATACACACCCATCGTCTGATTTGTGTACCCCCTACGCGCCGCGCCCCGTCAGCAGCAGCCAACTCTCACAAGGAAGAGAGAGTCGTACATCGACGTAACACAACAAGGGCAAGATGAGAGTCTTCGAGAGCGCAATTACGTTGGCAGGCGGTCTATTTGCGTGTCGAACGGCATCGGCATTCGTGGCTCCTGCGGCGTCTATCAGGCAAGAGGATTGGTTGCTTTTTGTCTTTTCAACTGCTGAATGTACAGCGAGCAGCGGTGTCGTGTTCTGCAGGCACAAGCAGCGTTCGCCGTTCATGAGCGCACTGCTGTCGGCAACATAGCTCAAACAACCCTTTGGGATCAGTTGAATTGTGTGCAGTGAATGTGTGCAGTACTCTGTCATCACGTTACATCTATCTTGATGGGGTGCTGTGAATCTCTTCTCGTCGTTCCACGCCGTAGCTCATGTTTCCTTGTCCAAGCGTCCGAAGGAAGAAATACAAGGGCAGGGGGGAGAACGCTGCTGTACGGCGGTTGTTGCTGCATGGAAACGTCTACAGACAAACGCGTTGCGGTGCAGAAAATAGCCTACGCCCAGTTAAGAAGATCTAGTTTCGGTCACCTCGATGGTTGTGATGGATCGTAAGTTGTTGGCGCAAAGATGTCGACAATCGGCAACCCTTCACGATACCTTCCTCCCGAGTTTTTTTGACGCGGAACACGTGCGTGATGTACACGCGCATCTTTTTGTCCTGTAGCTGAAAGAGTCTTCAGCAGTCTCATGCAGGGCGCACACACGGGGTTGGCATGCAGGACGATCCTGCTCCGTCAGCACGATCGTGGCCAGTGAGATGGCGCTGCCATTTTTTTCTTGTCCACCGACCCTCTATGTTGAAGGCCGGTTGAGGTCTTCCGGTGGTTTGCTTGGAGACACTTCCCTCCATGCACTCTTTCTACCAGGCGTGTAGCAAGATGGCACGTGTCTGGCTTGCTCTGGTGCAGTCGTAAACCCCTCCATTCCCCCGCCCCCATAGCTCAGATATCGTAACCGTGTGATCTACTCTGTAACGTGTCCACACATCAACTTTTTGCCTGCATACTCTGCGCGGTGTTCTCGAAGCCGGTGCATTGTCGTGACGGAGCCCAAAAGCAACCCGTCGCCTCTTGTGAAGTCCGCTGTGGTGTGCTCACTCCCATGTTTGCTGACCCTGCTGCTGCTACTGCCGCCGCTCTGCTGCCGCTTGCTCCCTCTGGGCGATGCATCGACGATGCTCTTGCTTATGATGATGATGCTGATGATGATGATAACAGGGCTCTGCGAAATGCACCAGCCGGCGGCGCAAGCACCACTAGCACCTGCGGCAGTAGCAAGGGGGCACCAGCCACCCGGTGAGAGTCACCGAGCTCAAGAGACAGGAGGGACAGATGCACGTACATGCCACATACCACGTAGTAAGCGTGTTGTGCCTGAGGAGGAGGGTGTCACTGATGTCAAGATCCTTGAGCCTTTGTGTGACCCAGCTGGTTTTGACCCCTCCCCACCCTGAGAAGAGGCAATATCGCGGGCCAAACGATAGAAACTTGAGGTACAACGCCCAAATTCATTGGTTTTCGGCACGAGGAATGTGGCACAAATTTCAAACTTAGTAATGCCCATAAACTCCAAGATCGTGGGAGACTTACGTATGCATGCACACGATGAGAAATGACTAGCATGATGAATTGTGAATGACATTCAATGTTGCATAGTTCCACCCTACCCGAAGAGAACTTCGATGAATCTAAATGTCACATGTACGTGAAGCACCCACACGTTGGTGTAGGCCCTATAATACTGAAAGAGTGCCTGGTAGAAAGCATGCTTCGCCCATTTTGGAAAGGCTGCATGCGTGCATGGCGAATCGTCAAGAAGACTCACGACGTATACTATAATAACGTTCTAGACTAACAGAGGAACCAGGAACAGGGAATTCCCTCTTTCCCTCCTGTTCCATGTCGGTTGTGTCCCACATACCATACCACATGCCACAGCATTCAGGCACGGAACACGGAACACTTCAGCGCGCGCGTGCGTGCGGCCAACAGGTACTCAGAGGCAACAATTTCAACCATTGGATGCAGAAAGACGAGTGGGGGGGTACAGGAAGGAGGGTGGTGTAGGTTTTCAAAGGAGTTTTTGACGAGCGCATATCTAACACATGTGCTATTCAATACGTACTGGCGAGAACGGGCGGCGCTCGTCGTGCAATCCGCATCCTCGAGAGTGTTCTGGAAGGCTTTCTCTTTGGATTGTCGTCAACGGCAGCTTGTTCTTCTCCTTGGAACTCTACCTTCCCCCATTCACGGCTACACGAGCATCCGCCGGCGTTTTTTTGCATGCGACCCGCCTGATGATGGCAATACCTACACCGCTTGAACCGGTAGCATGCAGTACCTGTGGCAGTCACATGCCCTAGAGTTGTCACACACATCCCACCACATACTGAATTGCCATCGAAGAGTACCGAAGAGCCCGTATTCCACGATCCCTATGGTCTGTTGACTAATTTCGATGAGCGTTTTCATTCATAATCTGGTGCGGCCCTATTCAAAACAGGAACCTGGCTGGTCTCAACTGCTTCACGAAAAGTTATCTTGCTTGGCGAGCCAATCAGAAAATAATTCCGAGTTCCCTGCTCCCTATTATCTGGTTTGGGAACGAAGGATAACCCCCACCCACTCTCCGCCCGAGTCCCTCACCCCCGCTCCCGATCGTTCGTACCACCGCCGCATGTGCCTATGATTTATTACCTTGCTCGATTCCGTCTTCAATCCTCAACGCAGAATGATGGCGGCGGAAGGTGTGACTTTTGGGGAGCTTGACGGCACCGACGTGCGCGTGGGGATCATCTCGACGAGGTGTGCGGGCTTGATCTACCGACGACCGCTCTGTCTATTTCTCGCGTGCCCGATGGAAGTGCGTAGTAGACGTACACAACCCAACCGGCAGCTGATGGTAGACTGTCAGCAAGCGGTGGTGTAGACAGCGAGCTTCACACCTCTTCTCCGACTGCACACGCCATGCGCCATGCAGAATGTAAGCTGAATGCAGAGGGATAGCGTGCCATTGAGTTCAGGGGTTGGTGAGGAGCTCTCGAGACCTCCCGTAGCATTCGGGCTTGGGTGTTGCGCGGCGAGGTACCATGTACCACGCCGCCGCTGCTGCTGCGGCTGCTGCGGCTACTGCTGCTGCCGCCCACTTCCGGTCTAAGAGGCATGGACCGATGTTCTATCGCCTAGTCGCGTCTGGGAAGGAGAGGGAGCACGTTCTTCTCTCACGGCATCATTTCACCGCTGTCATGCGGGGACAACCGCAAGAGGATGAGGTGGCTCAGGAAGAGTTCCCTCCTTTTCGCGTGTTCCACCGACCTCACCCCGTCTGCCCCCACCTGTTGTTCGATTCCTTTGGGCTGTTGTTTGGTGTTCCTGCCGTGTCTCCTACTACGTGTCTTGTGTGCTCGCGGAGAAAAGGTGGAACGAGGAGATCGTGAACCGCTTAACCGACGGCGTGAAGGAATCCCTCAAGGTAGGTAGTACGCCAGGACAACAGGGAGCCACAGAGAGAGGAGAGAGACTCTGGTGGCGGTGAAAGGGCGTGGGCGATTGTTCTTTGGTTCGCCCGTGTTAGTATCAGCAGTGGTTGTGGCAGCTCGGGCGTATTCTTGAAGGTGTAGCCATGGCCAGGTTATGCTCGTTGTGTTTAGGGGGTGAGCCTTCCTGCAGCTCTCCCTCCAACCTTGTGGCGGGGAGTAAGTTGGAGGGCTCTAAAAGGCCCGGGTTGGTTGATGGGTATGGGGTTGCAGCTAAGGCGTTGGGACGGATGGATGGGGGGGTTGGTTTAACGTCGACGCTGGTTGGTGCCCAGACGTGCCGCTTTCTATCCCTGTACGACCGTGGAGCACCTGTTTTTTGTTTTTTGTTGAGTTGGCGGGTGACCGTCGTCCGGCACCCCGTGCTTTGCGATGTCCGCGTACTAGCTGTTGCAGGTCATGGTTGTGTGCGTGTGTGTTGCCGTCTTCTGGGGAAACTCCGGTGTCGTGTAACCGTTACGAGTGGTGGTTGCCAGTGTAGTCTGCGATGGTAGACTGGTAGACAAATGCCCCCCTCCCCCTCGCCCCCCCCGGTGTTTGCCATCGGGGTTGGGTTTTCGTCGCTTGGCAACGACGTTGTAAAACAAGCC